GCCTATTCTGTATGACAGGTAAAATAATTAGTGATTGTTTTTACGACAGTAACAGATTTCATACATTTTTTTTGGAAAACAAAGAATAGAATGATGAAGATTGGTTAGAAATTTAGCACTTAAATTTATGATCATTGTTTGCTTTTTTTTAAAGAAAGATAGAAATTTCAAATATAAAATCATTTTCGATCTTAGTTTAATTTTAATAGACATAATAATTTGGATATTTAAAGTTTATAATCTAGCTTACAGGACGTGTGAAGAAATGGAATCTTCATGATCGGTAAAATCTAACTTTCTAAGCTTTAGCAAAAAATTGCAACTAATTTTTAGACAATGACAAAAAGAACAACTGCAGATGTGCTTGAAATAAATAAGGGACAGAAAAACCCGAAAAAATCCTCGCAAATTTTTTGAGACACCTGAATATTGAGATGCTATTTAAGACTTACGGCCTTTTTTCGAGAAACTTTTTATCATGGTTAAGTGATTAGAGGTAAATTATTTAAAACATATTTTAAAAAATATATTGATCCGGATAGAAAGATGTTAGTTGATTTGAACATATGTTTTCAGGAATCAAATTTGAGCTATCGTGTTGGAGAAGTGATGCAGTTATTACAAGTGTTTCCAGTTAATATCATTATGGCAATTTGCATATTCATCACCATATCCCTCACAAACATTTGTAGTAATACAGTAACGGCATCCATCTTCATTCCTATTGTAGCAGAATTGGCAAAATCATTGGAAATTCATCCACTATACTTTATGATTCCCACCGCTCTCGCCTCTTCAATGGCTTTCACTCTACCCGTTCGTTTCATTCAGCTAATTTTAAAATTTGTAAATAGTTTTAATAAACGTAGAAATAATCGCCAGAATATTTTTTTCTGTGGTTTATTTTAATATTTTAAATTATTTCAGGTGGCAACTCCACCAAATGCAATCATTTTTGCATCTGGCCTGTTACGTGTCAATGATATAGTAAGTCAATCGAACCAATTTTCTTCCCTAATAATATTTTTGATTATTATGCTTAAGTATGAACGTATTTGCAGTTATTGGCTGGAATACTGGCCACTATCGAATGTGCTCTATTAGAAATGCTATTTATGATGACATGGGCAACGTAAGTCAATTCTTTACATTAAACGAAAAAAGAGCACATTATTAGTGTTCACTTTAAAATGCTATTTTAATTTTAAAACCCAATGGAGCATGTCTACTGTTTGGTTATTATGTTTTTTATAATGTTTTTATTATTTTATTTGAAAACAGATATATACATTTACTTAAGTATTACCAAATTTTTACGACTAAAATCCCAGGTTGAATTTTGCGTGATAGTTTTTTTTCATGTATTTTTGCATGAGAATAGTAAAGTATGAAGAGATTTTCCCGTATAATACACAATTTCAGAAAAATAATTGAAAACAACTTTAGATACCTATTCGAGCTGGACAAATTCCCTCTCTGGGCCTATACTCCAACAGAACTAGTATACCGGAACCATACTTTGTTTGATATATTGGCTAATGCAACGGCCAAATAGTGAATACTGACATCATGTATTCCTATTTCTAAAGCTTCAAGACATTTATTAATAGTGAGCAATTCAGTAAGTTTTCAGTTACAATGCCGAAATGATTTGTTGTCATTATCAATGTGACCTTTGTGATCACTGTAACTTTCGTGGAAGATTCTGATTCAATCCAATTTAACTCCAGAACTTTTTTATATTCTATAGCACAGTTTTCAATTTTGATTGCTTAAAAAATAATGTAGTAGGAGGAAAATATGAAACTTTGGATTCTGCTAGAAGATGCTCATTAAAACATTTTCTACTTTGCAGTGAACTGATCAATTCTTTTCGAATTTCATTATACAGAATTACTGCCTTGCATACGGATAAAAATGCCTCAGGCAGTATTGTCACATGAAAAATTGCTTGTTTACGCAACGGTCTATATGATTATAAATGCTTAGGTTTGCAGCGATACAACATTTAGCATTCATCTACACGGCGATAATATAACAAGCTGACTGCTGGAAATTTATGATGATTTACTACAAAAAGAACTATGAAGTGGGTTCTCATAAGCTAACTAATTTTACGTCAATCTGGACTAATTTTGACAATGATCAACTTCTATCGGCAGTTTAATTCTTAAAATTGAATGAAAATTGGCACAAAATAACCAAAAAGCAACAATTTTCTCACGCTAGTTGCAAAGAGATGAAAGTTTGTTTCGTAAAAAGTACTATCGTCTAATAAAGAGATAAGATTAAGCATTGCTTGATACTTCAATACCACTGTAATGAACTTCCTACAGTTCTAGAAGGATTCCTTTTTGGATTCAACACGACAGATGAGAAAACGAAGAACAGAAGCAGATAGCTGTCGTTACATATCTAACTTATAAGAAGTATAGGTTCACCATCCTTCACGTCACTTGAAAAAAAAGAAGTGGTCTAGGGGTCAAACAGCTCTCAACAATGAGTCGACGGGATAGTCACACAAAATAAGTCTCAATTTCTGACTTGTAATAGTTCCACACATAAACGATCACACGTTTCTTCGCTCGGGATGAAATTCGTTCAGTTCACATCCGGTTGCACGCTGAATCTATCGGGCCGTGAAAAGTTCCATGCTTCTTTACTCCTTGCTGCATACCAGAAATGAAAATTGGTGGAATCGCATTGACCGGACGTATTGGATATTGTTCGTCTGCGGTAGGTTCTCTGAAGTATTACTGTTACTGTCAGAATTCATGCAACTACATATGATTAATGCTACCTTCTTGTGAGTTTTGGAACATTATTTCAGAAAATGTTGCGAAGGTCGGTTCGTCGATTTGCGCTGTCGATATCGTTGTTAACGGTGATTTATACAGCCACAGTCTTTATTATGGACTACCAGGCAAATTTTTTTTCTCGAATGATACTTTGAATTATTTGGCTGATGGATTTTTTACTTTACGACTTCAGAGGATGTCAGGATATGCGTTGCATTAAATGATTGTGCAAGATATATACATTTTGTTGAAAGTGTTTTAAGAGAATAGTGTGTAAGAGAGTGGGATCCGGAGGATGCTAAGTCATGCTTAATTAAGATATATGAATTAATATAAAAGAGCAAGTTTGATATATTACGAGAATGCCATTTCAATTTGGATGTTGCAAAAAAATTGGTTTTTAGAATGGATCGCAAATGCAGCGTAATGTATCGCGTAAAGCTCAGTCAGGAATAAAAGTTAATGGGGTAAAGGTTATTAACATTATTTGTGCATCGGATTTCAATCTGTTTACTTCTGTCAGCTCTTATATTTTTCCGTGAAATTGATAGGAAGGAAGGATGGAAAGTTGAGGGTATCCCAAAAATCCGAATGTTCAATTTCAATCTTTTTTATTGTTTGATGTTATCGTTACTTCTTACACTATAATTTTGCTGGACTTATTCTTTCATCATTCTAACTGCAACTTTTGTAATTTAGAGAGACAGTCTGGAAAATTTGGATGGGCTTGTCGTTAATCAGGATCATGGTGTCCAGAAAGTTTTACATCTGTCATCATCTTCGCAAAATTATTTTATTGCACGTAAGTTCGAAAGAAATCCTTAATTGTTTTCCTTTGCTTAGTTCTGGACATTCTTTTGATGTAACTGTGCTCTTTGGACCTATTAAGTCATTAAAAAAAGACAGCGGTAATTCTTGGTGTGGATTCCTGTTATTAATGAATTTATTTTGCTACTGTGACTTCTATTATGCTTACTGGAAAAAAATGAATTACACCGCTTATAGCAAATCGCATTTTTCACCTGGATTTAAAAGGCGCAGCACCAAAAATGGACTATTTATTAAAACTTGTTCCATTTATCAAACAAATTGGAGCAACAGGAATAATGATTGAATATGAAGATATGTTTCCATTTACAGGTATGTATGTTCTTTTTTTTAACTTTTTTAAACATCGCATTCAATTGTATTAACAGTTTCATATTGCACTAATAAATTGTATTGAATCTTCATTCATCATTTTTATAATTCTCATCTTAGTAATGATCACATCGACACTGCAATAGGCCATCCTTCATGCTTTTTAACACGTCCTCTGTATTCAAGAGATTTTATTGTCATTCTTGTCATTAATGAATTTTAAAGGCAAACTAAGTGGGGTAAAAGCTAGTAATGCATACACTTTGGATGAATTACGTCGTTTTCTTCGTGCAATCCAGACACATAATTTGGACATTATACCTCTTGTTCAAACAGTAGGTCATCTGGAATACATTTTGAAATACCCTGACTTCTCTAAATATCGCGAGGAGGAACGGTATCCACAGGTATGGCTTACTATAGCTTATATTTGTTGGAATTTATGTATGTGTAATTCCGAGATATATTTTGCCCATAAATAAATTTAGGTCATTTGTTTGACGGATGAAGGAGCAGTTGATTTGGTTCAAGAAGCACTGAGACAAATATTGAATTTACATAAAGATTTTACCATGAAATATTTCCACATTGGAGCAGATGAGGTTTTTCAGGTTTGTTTTACTGCAATTGCTTATATCTTTCTCGTAGCTAAATTCACACAAAAAATATGGTATTGAGCCTCGGCTCAAGGTTTTTGTAAACATTTTTTTAGATAGCTAATTTTCTGATAGCTAGTCATAAAAGGTAATGACATTATAAGGTATTTTATGTAATCAATGAATGCTACTTTATATTAGATCGGTCGATGTGAAAAGGACAGAAGTTACATGATAGACAATAATGTTGATACCGAGTTCTTGCTCCTCAAGCACATTGCGAGAATAGCGAAATTTGTTAAGGTTTGTGTTTTTTTGGAATGATTTTTTTTTGTTAGATATTTTCTTAAATTCCGTTTATTCAGTTGTTGATGTTCTTAAATTTAATGTGTAGTATATCATCAAAAAAGTACCAGACGGGTTGATTGCTTTGGAAAGCAGATTTTCTTTGCTAGTTATCAATCTAGAATCTACTGAATTTTAGGCTCAAGTTCCAAAGAAAAAATTAAGTGTATTGATTTGGCACGATATGCTAGTAAATTTACAAACACAAAATGTCTTGAAGCATGGGTAGGTATTTTTCATTTGGTTTATTGATGTTTTAAGTGACTTCACATCAGTTCAACATTTTCAGTATCGGTATGTTAAGTGTTTTAGTAGTTGTTGTGATTCAAAAATTTTTTCTTCACCCTGGAATAAATATCGCTGCTCATTGAAATATGAATGAAATATAAAAAGCTTTTATCTCAAACTTCATTGTCTCTTAAACAATGTTTGACGGCATAATTTAATATTTAACAAATAATAATAATTATTGTAAGATGGTTTGAAGTCACCATATTACTTTGTTTATCTAAATACTTTTAGTTTGAGTAAATTGGTCGAGCCAGTAGTATGGAATTATATGGAAAATTTGGATGACCAATTGTTGCCTGATTTTTGGCAGCGATTATCTTCAGTGTTTTCATATGTCTGGGGAGCTTCTGCTTATAAAGTTGAGTTTTCAAAAGTATGAATGTGTAAATTTGTTTTGTAATGGGTAGTTTTTCTCTGCTCAAACGATGTTTTTGTAAGATGTTATTTGTACTCATTTTAGGTGCCGATGGCCCAGATCAGTATGCTTCTAATGTTCAGCATTACTTGAATAATCATATAAGTTGGCTGAAGCAGATGAATGAACATCATTCCAAATTCAAGCAGTTTCGAGGTATCATTGTAACTGGCTGGCAAAGGTTAATCTTTTTCAGTTTCATGCATTGTGCGACTTTAATAGGAATATTTTTTATAGCACAATATGTATGACATCCATGCATTGAAACATTAAGGAATTCGGTTTTGTTCTTAGTTTTTCCGGTTATTATAAAAAGAACTACTTCATTGTTATATTTTTAATGCAAAATTTTGCTTATTTGAAGTCTTCTGCAGTTGCGTGATATACTAAAAATTGTTGCTTTTCTCTGTAAAGAAGTGATCGAGTAGATGACTTACTAGCCAAAGCACATACCTTCGATGCCAGTATTTCATCGTAGTAATGTCTTATATTATAGTAATGGAAGTAATATCTTATATTGTAGTAATCGTAGTAATGTTCTTATATTACATTTTTATATAATTCTATTATATTTCCGAGTTATTCAAAATGAACTTTTTATCTTTTAATAGTCAGTCGTTATCAGGTTTGACCATTTCGCCATCATATGCGAAGTTATACCAGTTGGTCTTCTTTCTGCTGCTGTAAACATGGCTGTTTTGAAAAGTGGCCAGTACGGTTCTGAGGGTAAGGATTCAGATTTGGTTCATGAGAAATTTTAGTTGAGAAATGCTTCCATCTATTTCAATAATTTGTAGATAAAAACATTTTCTCTAGACTTATTCTTTGCAAAATATTCAGCTTATTTAAATCATATATTCCAGTAGTTCAGCAGCTTCCTTTGTTGGTTTTTACTTGGATGAAACCTGATTCTCTCTTTCGGCCAACATTCATTTGTGCTTCCCACATTCTCAACACATTGACTTCATTTTTGTAAGGCTGTTGAAAAGTTAATTATATTCAAAATTTAGTGATGCGATCAGTTTCAAAATTGTTGAAGTGCTCTTCGGTTTTATATTTCGACAAAAATTCATCTCCCTTCATACCGCAATGTAGTTTTCCCGGTACTGGTTTTTTCAGTTCTTTTAAATATTCAAAGGGATTTTTAAATTATACTTTGTAAGCCTAGATTCAGAAATTCTAGAAAGTTATTACTTGATTTTTTTATGGAAATTAAAATTATACAGATCAACGTACCACAGAGAAAAAGTATTTGAGGATCTGAATTTATTTGTATCTAATGAATAAAATTCATTCACAATATTTTGTAGGGGTCCACGTTTTCCATGCTGTTCAGACATTGCATTCTACAATCAATTCAGTTGAAGAGCAAGTTTTCAATGATTATCAGGTTTGTTCAGTTTTTAAAACAGCTTAATCTAGAATTAAATATCGTTTTCAAGGTTCGTGGGTGGATAGCAAGATTCAACGAAAAACACTTGTACACACAAGCTTGGTATCTTGATCAAGTATTATACAAGGTTAAGTCGTTCCTTCGTGAAATGGAGGTTTGCGAGCAGAATATCAGGTAAGTTAATTTAATTTGACCTTTGCAGATTTTTATTTTTTAATGATATTGTGAACTTATTAAGGCACTTAACTGAAGACAAACTTTCTTTAGGACTGAAATGCAAACCGTTTTCTACAATGACACAGTAGCTGAATTCGTTTACGTGTACGTAAAGCCAACACTGAAACGTCTAGAAGAATTGTCACAGCGAATAGATAAGCTTTCGGAGCTTCGTGCCTTCCCGAGACGACCTTTCACTGTGCAGGAGTTTTAAGTTAATCAGATGTCAACCAGTTGGCAGTCAAAATCTTTTTTATTTTCAGATGCGGGTACAGTGTGCTTTTATTATTTATTTTTGAATTTTGTAATAATTCATTGTTTTACAACACATACAATCAGATATTATAGAAGACCTGTTACTTTATACAGCATGAGTCAGATGTTCTGGGCTAAAAGTCTTTGATTGGATCTTAGGCATGTGGTAATGATTAGACTTCTTTAGCACTACTTCTGCAGTAATTATAGTTCTTTTAAATAGTCTATAGGAGCACACTGCGCACGGTTATCGATCTTCTGATGCATTTTATTAGATGCATTGGCAATGTTCATGATTAGGTTCAACTTTTT